AGGAATCGATCGACTGGCTGGACAAAAGATGGTCGACCAAGTGCCATCTGCATATTGACAGATGGCACTGGCGCAGGAGGCAACAAGTTGAACATGTGATATCTGTGCGCATTATCTTCGTGACTACAGTGTACCACTATACGCTAGCGGTGCGTACACTATCCGGTTGACTATAGGCCGGCCACGTGCGTCGGTGGTTTCTCTACAACAACTTTCCGAAAATATTTATGAAATGCGCGCATCATGTACTAGTAGCTCGTATGAACGATCCATGGCCTCTCATGAGGATGGATATTCAGCTTCGTTGTATTGTCACTGGCAATTGTGCGTGGAGTACACTACATTAATGTACTAGTCGGATTCTGCATCGTCGCTCGGGTTGGTCTTATCGCAGCGTCATTCTCTAGGCGCCTGGGACATATGGCGGTGCATCATGATGGGTGTATGGCGACAAGTACAAATAATAGTATACCGTTTGCTACAAACAACAACTGCAGCCACAGTGCAATTATTGTTCAAGAGCTTCGTCACCCATTCCCATGCCAACAAGCGACGCAAGCAGTGACGCCGAGGCGCATCGCTCGCGCTACCGAGCCTACTATGCAAGAAACCGGGCGTCGATTTTGGCCCGCATGCGGGAGCGGTACGCCGACAATCGAGAGCTCGAGCATGACCGCCAGCGCGACAAATATTTGCGCCGAAAAGCCCGCCGGAAATTGTCGGCCTTGGAACGCAAGTCGTGTGCGCTGCAGCTGCCCTTCATTTTGGACACAACACCGGCCGTTGACAAGGGCAGCATCCAATTCATCTTAAATTAATCTCAGTTATTTGTCGCCGTGTACATCGATGCGTTCATACAGTTTTCTTAGTCTTCTTGGCTAATCTTGCCTAAATGAGGAAGGAAATGGCCCAACTACGAACTCATAGTCCAGTCAATTCGGGACGCAACATGCAGCAGCGATTTCCATTTTGCTTGCCGAGCCCAGATTGGCATCACGCCTTTGAATTGATCGAGGCCTACTTCTCGGTGTCCACCAACGTCAATGAAGGTGGCCTCTTTGGCACATTCGTTGTGCACTACGCGTCAGCTTTTGACGCAAGCCATGCCACTAGTCGATGTATTCGGAGTTCTACCGCATAACTCCGACATCGCACAAAACTTATGCGCGATCTTTCAATGCCATTGCTAGCACAACTGCCTGGTCTAGAGCCTTGGTGTGGTGATGCTACGCGGTGCTTCGTCAGCAAGCTAACGTTATGTTGATAGGAAGATCTGAGTCTCTTCGCCTCTCAGTCCCGGGGTCAGTGTACGTCATCCACAAGATGCGTGCCAGTCTAATGAGTTTTGCCCACTCCAGTCGCTGGTGCCTCTCGCGTACGTTCAGCGACTACTGTCTGTAGCTTTGATCCGATTCGCGACGGATAAAAGACCTCATGGAGCGCGTCGTCAAGTGCCTCGCCGGGTGGGATCACAGATGAGCAAGACGAGCCCCGCAGCGCCGCATGCACAATCACGGCCCGGCGACCAAAGGAGATGGCAAGTCTCTGCGTGTGTGGGGTCTTTGTTGCGTCACGACAGAATTGATAGATAACCCGTTTATGTACCTAAACTTCTGTCATTCGAACGGGACAAGGATCGATCAAGTCCTTCGCCCTTGACTTCACTGCTAGCTCTGGGCGTGACGGTCTTAGAGGGTGCCAGAACACTAGATAGCCAGCGGTGCCGCGATAATGGCTCCAACTATAGAATCGCTCAAGAACACACCACTCGAGTCGCAGGCCCTCAACGCCGCGGCACTCGTCGGCGTCCTCCGCATCGCCAGTCGCTCAAAACCTCCAGCTTGTGCTGCCGCGACGATGGTTGCTTCACGTTGCAAAACACCCGCGCGGAATGGCTTCGAGCCCGGCGATCTTTGGCGCGTACCAGAAGAAAACCACCGAGCGCGTGCCTGACGGACGTTAGTTGGACCCGGCTGTAATGTAGGCGCTCGATGAGCTAACCGACTACTCACCAACTCATTGTTCTCATTTCGGTCGTGGTGGTGGCCCCAACGACCACGAGCGGGTGTACGCCCGTCGCTCCCCTTCAACAATAATAACATTGTTGGTGCAAAATAATATCATGTCGTTTCTGGTGCTGAGCGGCGGCCTGGTTGTGTGGTCTGGTTTTGACAGAGATGTGGGTACACATTGCTGTGTCGTAGCCACGTTTCGGAAACATCTGGTATTACCTCCTGCCGGCTCGCCGACCACCCTATCAATTCAACACAGGTCCGCACTTGGGGCCAACTGGGCCTCCATGTACATCGCCGGTACCCTTTTGGCTCGATACGTAGTGATAGGGCTGCTACGCGGGGCTGTACGGCGCTTTTTCTGTCGATCAAAAATCATTCATGTAAGGACGCGTCGGGAGGCAGAAAGTTGAAGCCCACTTTTATATGCCGGCGTCACGCAGCGCGTGATAACTGCGTGGTCCCACGCTACGCCACACCCATTTCTGGCCACAAACAGAGTACTCGTAGTAATGCGCAAAGTACATCGAACCTCGCTTCATGGCAGTGCATTGGTCGAATGAATCGTGAAGTGGGACGTTACGCATCCCATTCACACTGCCGTGCACTCCCCCGCGGCGGCGCGATAGTACCAGTTGCAATCGTCGGACCCGTACTTCAAGCAAAATACCGTTCGTCCGCGACCAACCGCACCAGATGTCGTCATCTGAGTTTGTTTACCTTTTGACGTTCCCCTTCTCAGAACGCGGACCGCCTCAACGGCTCAGGAACGCCGATCATCGAACCAATGCCCCAACACACTTTTACATTTGCCCAGCATGGCGCATCAAGTGCAAGGCAAGATGGACCTCGAGGAGCGCGTCTCCTACATCCAGTCCAACACGCACGAGAAGGACGCCAACGGCAACGGGTACGCTGACGCCAAGACGCCCGGTGAGCTCGAAGACGGCGCGTTGGTTGAAGGCGGTGCGCTGCACCTCTTTTCGCGCGAGGCGTTTGGTCTCTTTTCGCAGTACGGTGCGATCGGCGTCATCTACGGCATGATCCCGACCTTGGTCTACCCGCTCTACACGGTGTACCTCGGCATGGAAGGCTACCAGACCGCGTCCTACGGCGTGCTCGTCACGACGGGCTGGTCGTTCAAGGTCTTCTTTGGTATGCTCTCGGACTGCGTGCCCATCATGGGCTACCGCCGCAAGTCGTGGATGCTCATTGGCTGGACCATCACGATGATCTGCCTCGCGATCATGACGTTCACGCCGTTCGGCAAGCCGTACTGCGACCGCCGCTTGACGACCAACCCCAAGACGTGCGACACGGCGCGGGCCAAGCTTCTCCCGGGGGACCTCGAAAAGTACTTTGACGTCGACGCGCCCAACCGCGGCACGCTCTTCATCATGATGAGCATGCTCGTCTCGTTCGGCTACGTCATTGCCGCCTGCGCGTCCGATGCCATGGTCGTCCAGTACGCCCAGCGTGAGCCCGTGGCCATTCGCGGCCGCGTCCAAACGGCCATCTACGTCGTGCGCACGATGACCGGTGTCATTGCGCAGCTCGTCATCGCGTTCTTCCTCAACGGCAAGGTGTACAAGGGGTCGTTTGACTTTTCGGTCAGTCCCAACGTCATCTTTGGCATCTGCCTCGTGCCCTGTGTCTTTGTCGTCTTCACCACCATCTTTGTCGTCGTCGAGAAGAAGACGCCGCGCGTCCCGTTCACCGAGTGGATGAGCATGTTCTGGAACCTCCTCCAGAAGCGCGTCTTGTGGCAGATTTGCGCGTTCCGCTTCATCAGCAACTGCTTCCAGGCCATGGGCGCGACGCCCGGTAGCCCCATCTCTGCGTACTGGGCCGAGGTCGAGCCGCTCAACGACTCGCTCTCGG